TATATGAAAAAAAAGATCTATCTTTTTCGATCTTCATATTGGCAAAGTCTTAATGTGAGACATAGTCTAGATGTGATACATGTGGAGAAAAATGTGTGTGAGAGCCTTATTGGTACATTTTTACATATAAGTAGAAAGACCAAGGATGGAATTAATGCAAGATGGGACTTAGTCGAACTTAGAATAAGAAAACTCCTCCACCTACAAGAAAGAGAGGGTAAGAGAGCTTATTTACATCCAGCTGCTCACACATTATCAAAGGAAGAGAAAACAAGTTTCTGTTTTTTAATAGCATTAAAGTGCCTCAAAGTTATTCTTCTAATTTGAGAAAACTTGTTTCAATATAAGATTTGAAGATAACGAGGATAAAGTCTCATGATTGTCACGTGTTAATACAACAATTACTTCCAGTTGCTATTTGAGGCATCATGAAAAATGATGTGAGAAGCACTATTACGAGACTTTGTATGTTTTTCAATGCTATTTGCAGCAAAGTCATTGATCTTGCTGAGTTAGATGAATTAGAAAATGAAAGTTATGTGATTCTCTCCTAATTGGAAATGCACTTTCCTCCATTATTTTTTGACATTATGGTCCACTTGGTAGCTCACCTTGTATGAGAGATAAGACTTTGTGATCCTGTGTGTTTAAGGTGGATGTACCCATTTGAGAGATACAAGAAAATCCTAAAAAAGTACTCTAAGAATCCTCATCGGCCTGAGGCTTCAATTGTTGAGAGATATGTGGTTGAGGAGGTGGTTGAGTTTTGTAACGCATATCTTGATAGGGCAACTTCCTCAATCTCAACATGATCAGGGGAGAAACAAGGAAACATGAGGTGTTATAGTGAGGTCTATGTCTTGTGAAGTTGTAATGTAGGCACATCTATATATTTTAAACAACATGGATGGAGTTTTGCCTTACTTAGATGCTCACAAGAATATGCTAAACAACTTGAATCCAAGAAAGAACGATATACAACTAGCCAGTGAGCATAACAAGTCATTTACAGAGTGGTTCAAGCTAAAAGTGTTAAAGGATGGTAATCCTTCTGAAACAATACAGAGGCTAGCTGCAAGGCCTCATTTTGAGGTTGTATGTTGGGGTGGATATGACATAAATGGCTATTCATTTTACACAAAAACCCAAGATGATAAGAGTATTATGCAGAATAGTGGGGTGATGGTAGTAGCCGAAGCTATACATTTTGCTAATTTAAAAGATAGAAACCTAACGTTGGCGTCAATGTCTTATTATGGAGTAATAGAAGAGATATAGGAGGTTAGCTATATCAAGTTTAAAGTTCACGTCTTCAAATGTAAATGAGTTAATAGTAATGCTGTGCAAGTAGATGAAGAATTTGGATTTGTTTCAGTTGATCTAGAGAGGGTTGGATATGGAGATGAGTTGTTTATTTTAGCAAGTCAAGCAAAACAAGTGTTTTATGTTACTGATCTAGCAAAGAAAAAACTGTCTATCATGCTCCAAGGTAAGAGGCAAGGAGTTGGTGGAGATGACAATGACTCAAAGTTCAATCTTGATGAAACCCTGCCTTTCACAGCTACTCGACCTAAAACAGCTGAAATAGATTTGGTAGATGATGACTATGTTGTTAGAGATGGTCATTGTGAAGGAATTTGGGAGGATAATCGTTATAAGACCTAAATAAATTATTTGATGTTTCTTATTAAATTCATTTCATATTTATCATTTGTTCATAATGTGATGTTTTTTGTTAAATATACTTAATGTTTTATGTTAAATTTACTTGATGTTTCTTATTCTTACATTTATTAGTTGTTCTTTGAATAGGAAATGGGCGGATCCGGTCAACAGGGTTTGACAAACTCAATTATTTTTATATATTTTGGTATCTTTTATATGAGTTTTGTCAGCTTAATTGGTCCCTTTTTGCCTTAATTGATTTATTTTGTTTTATTTTGAATTATTATTTTATAGGGGCAAAATTGTCATATTTTGATTTAATTGTGATTAATTGATTTTTGAGGACAATTAATGCTACCTTACTTTTAAATTTTGTTTGCAGGTTTTTAGAAGAATTAAAAATAAAAAGAAAAGAAAAAGAAAAGAAAAAAAAAAAAAATATATATATATATATATAACAATAATAAAAGGGGAGAGCAAAACGGAACGTTTTGCCCTCCCCCAACCTAATAATAATAATCACTCACGAGCGGAAAGCGAAAAAAAGAGAAGACGCAAGCGGCGCTGAAATAAAACACACACACACGCCGAACGGAGGAGCTGGGCGGCGCGCGAGGAGACCATTCATCATCTTCTCCGTTGAATCTTTCTGGTGGCAGAGAGAATCAACGCGGGACGCCGAAGGAGATAGAACGAAACAGAGCAGAGCACGCCGAACAGGGTAGAACGGAGACGCAAGCGAGCTGGGCGCGGCTGGAGAAAGGACCAGAGAACGAACACGACGGCGGCTGCGTTCTTCCATGGGATCCTGTAGCAAAATACTGATTGTGGCATTTCTTATGGCAATCCATGGCTAGAGCTTAATAATCCTCTAATTCAACAACAATGGCAGGAGCTTAGATCATCAAGGGGAGTTTTAGTTGCTTTAATTTCTTACTCAATAATTGTTTAACAATTCCTAGGTCTTAGGATAGTTTTTCTGATTGTTGGGATAATTGTATTGCTTAATCTGATTATATTTAGAGATTATTGTGACTGAATTATTGCTTAGTATTTGACATTGGGCTGTTTATAGTTTTGATTTCAATTATAATGTTGTGGTTATGACATTTGTATTGATTTTGGAATTAATATATTGTGATTTTCTAAGGTGGCTTAGAATTTTGGATCATATAGTCTCTTGCTAGCTTTAATTCTGTTATCTTTGGATTTAAGAGTTCTAATTAAGCATTGGTTTTTAGCATCCTTAATCCCATTTTACTATTCTGGTTGCAGTTAGTAAGTTGGGATTTTAGGAAAATATTTTGTGGCAACTCGAGGTGGCTCGGTTGTTGGATCAAAAGCTTAATTATAATTCTTAATTCATTGTTTTTAACTCCCACATCTTTTAGAGTGATGATTGCTTGCGTTGTTGAATTGGAGGATTGATTTTTATCAGTGTTATTTGTGTGTCTCATTTTCATTTCTTTTATCTTCAGTTATTTCAATCATCTTTTATATAAAAGAAAATATAAAAAAAGTATTTTAAATTTCAATTTGATTCGTAGTATTTAATTAACAGCTTTTCAAAATCAAAAATCTCTTTTTATAATTTAGGTTACTTGCATTTATTTACTAGGGTTTAATTTTGTTTTCGGCTCCTCAAAGTGAAACGACCCGAGTTTTGCACTATATTGCATTAATTCGGTTAATTTTTGGAGTAACCCCAAAGCGACAATTAAGGGAGTTCAACTTCAGGGTTCTGGCGAAGACAGGTCCTTTACTAGCAAGAAAAAGGGTAGAGGGCCGACCCGTATAAAGAAGTTGGCTTTACGTGATGAGACCACACAGCCCTCAAGGATTATAGTAGAGTTTGATGATGATTTGAAAGCTGTAGGTCCTGAAGGGGCTCAATTTACTAGCTTTGTGAGTTACGTAGCACGGAGTAAGATTGGGATTGACTTTCTAATTGGAGGATGGTAGATGAAGATTTGAAAAACAATATTTGGGAGGATATTTTGGTACATTACGAATTCTTTTCTCTATTTGTTTCAATTATAATTTATTATTTACTTATAACTCTATTGTATTGTATTGCAGCTGACATTTGATATTTCCACAACTGAGAAAATGAAACATCATATGTTAAAGCAACTCCATGAACGGTGGAGGGATTTTAAATCCATTCTTACAAGGGAGTATCTCTATGAAAAAAGAAAGGACGAGCATTCTAAGGATCGATACTCTTTTGTTAGTGAAGTATGGGAGAGATTCGTGAAGCAACAGGAAGATCCTGCATTTTAGGTTTGGTTTCTTCAAACTTAGTTTTTAATCAATTTATATTTTATTTAACTAAACTAACTTTATTGAATTTGTTTCATTGTCATAGGCAATGAGTAGGAAGAACAAGTAAATATATAAGCAGAATGTGTACCCACATACCATGTCTCGTGCAGGGTATGGTGGGTTGGAAAGAAGTATAATGGAGGAGCAAAAAAAGAATACACAGATGGCTGCTGCTTTAGATCTACTGGAATCATTTCACCCATCAAGCATCCTTCTCACCAAGAAAGGGAGGATTAAAAGGGTTCAATATATCACTCTAGAGACTGCTGCTGTTGCTAAGAGGGTTGTAAGTAATATTTATGCGTTATTCTTCATTAATTGCTTTTTTCAATTATCTTAAATTGAATTTGTTGCTTTAATGTTATAGGATACACTTAAGGAGCAATTATCCCAAGACACATTTGTTTCTCATGGACGGATGGATATCTTGGCCACTGCAATTGGAAAGGCTGACCATCTTGGTAGAGTTAGAGGAGCCCCTAAAGAGATTGGCATTAAACAGTTCTTTGGCCCTAGTTCATGAAGAAGCACTGGATCATCCTCCGTTGACATGGTATCTGAAGAGGAGCTTGACTAGCAATTGCAAGAAAAAACAAAGAGAGTTCAAGCTCAACTTAGTCAAGAACACAAGGTGGAGATGCAAAAGATGCATGAGGAGTTCGATGCCAAGTTTGTACAGGCTATGATGATGATGGGCATAACCAGATTCTAGATGTCCCAAGTGTCTGAACCTTCACAGGTAATAATCATACATCTTCTCAAATCTTCTAAAAGTTCATTTCATCTATTTAAACTTATTAATGTGCCTTAAGTAATTTCTTTTTATGTTTCAGGGTTCACCTATGATAAAAAGTGGGAAGGGCAGTAATAATTAGATGCAACCGCTGACAATGTCTAACCCTGACCCTTGCCTTGACCCTGCCTAAGACAATGGAATGCCGTGTACTCTATATGTGGACCTTGATGATTTATCTCTTTATGTGGCTAATGGTTGAGTATTCTCAAACACAATGATCCACGGCAAGAAAGTTCCGAAGGATCAAGTGAGGGTGAGGGTGGATAGGATTTGTAGTGGTCAAGGTGGTATACCAGTGTCCAACCTTACTAATGAGTTTCGACTACTGGCTCAGGCTAAAGAAAATTTCACTTTATGGCCAAGAGGACTTGTTGGAAAGCTAGTAGCAACGAAGAAGGTGACAGTGAAGAAGACAATAAAGAGCTCATTAGATCCTATCCTCTTGCCTCTTCCTGATCACATTGGGGTTATGTATAGAAGTTTAGCGCTTCTTCATTCCATGGTGGCAACGATGGAGAATCCCCTTACTTTCAAGATGCCGTTGGGGATTGTAGGTTCAGATGTAACATATGACTTCACTATTGACAAGAAGGACCTCGTTCAGTTCCTCAACTTTGAGGAGCTGGATGTAGTCTTCATGCAGTTAGCTATTTTGTAAGTTACAATATCATTTTCTTACTTCATGTTATACTTATGCATGTCTAATGCTTTTTATTTGAACAACAGGCACTTTACTTGAGTCTATCGATAGAAAGGACTTGAGGACACATATGGCTTTATGTGTCCTCAAATGGTGCAGAAATAATCAATACTGTGGAAGCGAGGTCAATCTACATGATAATCATAATGACTCAGACGAAAAGGAAATTATATTTTGCACCTTACGTGGAAGAGTAAGTATATTATTGTATTTGAGATACACAGGTTATATATATATATATGATTATAATTAACATGGTTCGTATTTTACAGTTATCATTGGACCCTGATTGTTTGTACCCCTTATGATAACAAAGTTTACTAGTTTGATTTCCTCCGTGGAGGTCCACAAGAAGAAACCAGAGATGTCATTAACACGTTAGTTTATGTTTATATATTTATTATGTGTAAAGTTTATAAAAATGTGCTCTAATATCATTTTTTTAAATTACTGATAGGGCTTTTCATAGTTTCAATGTTGTGGCCAAGCAGCAACATAGGCAACCACTAAGATGGTTTCTCCCACAAGTATGTTATCTAAATATATGCTTACAAATCTTTTCAATAGTCAAAGTTAATGTTTATAAATTCTTTTTACATAATCAAAGTTAGATATTCAAGTTCATGTTTCATTTTGTTAATACCGTTGTCAACCTAGGAGTGTTGAATGCAGATATTATGTCATCCGCTATATGAATGTCATCATTGAGACAAGGGTGACTGAGAAATTAAACGAGATAAATATAGATTACATTGCATGCAATTCTTCAATTCTTTTCACATTTTTGATCAAGTTGACTAATTGACTATGTTATTTTTAATTTACAGGCATTCCAAGATAGTGTGCCATATGACATGAAGGAAATCAATTTGGTGAGAGATACTTTGTCAACAATATTACTAGAGAATTTTGAAAATATGAAATAGTTAAGTCATTCATCATATTTTAGTTAATTGTTTGATTCTAGTTGAGTATTTGTTGTTATATTAGGTGATTGAAACAAGAATTAGATGTTAGTGTTAGGATAAACGTCTTGAAATGGTTCTGCATGGCTAGTTGATTTGGGTCTATAAATTACAAGGAGGTTGTAAAAGAAATTCATGCAGTATTAAAAAAAAAATTTTGTTTTTAACAGCGGTTATTTTAATAACAGCCGTTAAAAATTATGATTCCACAACGGTTTGGTCAATAAAACCACCATGGAAAGTTTACTTTCCATGGTGTTTTAACTTAAAAACCACCATGAAAAGTTATTTTTCATGGTGGTTTTAAACCGTCGTATTTCATTCTCCCTATAATGTTGACGTAATTCACATCGTCTCCAAAACTGCCTTGGAAAACTCAATTTAACCTTTGTTAAAGGCCTTTTTTCTAGTAGTGTTATGCGGTGGTTACTTTATGAAATTTTTGCGCATCATAATTGTATATGCATAATAGTTGTTCAAGTTGCAGAGTTCAAGAAGAGAGAGTTTCTTGAATATGGATCACCAAAGATCAGCCTGGAAACTACAAAACCCTAAACCTAAGATTTTTTTTTTTGAGCAAAAAACCTAAGATTAATTTGTTGATGCAAATATGTGTTCACTCTATTTGCTGATTTGTGCTTTATGTCACGCCATGCCTCAAAATAACGGGTTAGCATTCTTTAATTGTATTTTTTTATTTTCAATTAATAAAATGTTATGCCGATTTTTATTTAATCAATTTATGTGAATTCAAAATTGTTATTTTGTTGCATCTTATTGATATGTAATCATATTTTTGTTTAAAAAAATTGAAGTATAATATAAAAAAATAAAAAATATATATATGATTGTGCCCTTAAGACATTATATCATTATTTTCATCATAAAATATATTTATTACTAGTTAAAGAGAGAGAAAATAAGTTAATAGAATTTAAAAAGACTTGCATGCATTGTTGTTTCTTCAAATTTTTAACGCTTAAAGTTCATTATTATATTTACAACTAAAATATTTAATATTTATTTTACATTTTAGATTCGGAATAAAAATCTTGAATAAATATTTAAAATTTTAAATTAAGAAAACCCTAAAAATCAAATGACCATATTTTATTATCTCAATTTTTGTTTTAAATATATGTGTGGGATCTTATATTTAGAATAGAAAGCAATAACTAAGAAAGAATGGACACAAGTCCCATCCAATAATGATCTCTAATTTACATTGTTGATGGTAGTTATCAAATTAAATTATATGGGTGTATTTTAAATCTCAAATTAAGAAAAATATAAGAATTAAATAACTATATATATATAAGTGGATACTTGGTCTTCCACCAAAATTGAGTGCTTCAATCATGTTTATACATAACAGTATTATAAGTGAAGTCAATTGGTATTTGTAATGACATATAGTTAATTGTGATTATATTAGCAAAACATGTTATAAGAGCATATAGAACATTTAAGAGCAATGACCTTTGAATATTTTGAAAATAATGATCTTAAATGATAGAAACGTCACACACAAAAACAAAAAACCCTTCAATGTTGCTTACAAAGAAACATTTTATAATCTTATATCGTCAGCATATAGATGAATTTTCTTTTTTGGTGACAGAAGCATATAACTGAATTTAACTAATATAACTAATAATTATATAGTGATTGAACTTTTTATACTATATAAAGAAATACTAATTCACAGCTGTACTAGTTAACTACTTAAAAGTTCATTTTTATTATATTTTTATAATTTTTCTTTTGAAAGGTATTTTGCTTTGATTCTAAGGAATATTTCAAGAAACATATAATAGACCCAGCTTTTAAAATTGAATTTCCAAGAGCTACAATCATAATTTGAGAGCTTGGATTGAAGCATTACTGGAAGAAAATAAGATAGAACAGGATTTTACAATCAGATTCAGTCACAGTAGTGAAGGGCAAAGTGGTAATTTCACAAGCCAAGGACAAAAATGGTCACTTTATATTACTTGTGTGGTAGCAACTTGGAATTTAGAAAGGATTTCCTAATGATCTAATTAAAAATTATTCAAAATATCTAGCTAAAATATCTTCTAAGTTATCTTCCGTAAGTCAACTACCACTATATAATTAATTTGACCTCTATACTATACCATTCTGTTCCTATTTATAAGTTACTTGTACCCCAAGCCCGTAAATTGAAAAATACATTAAATTCATTTTTTCATGCTTGTCTTCATCAAAGAAAGGGTATTAAAAATATGTTTTATATTTTTCTTACCTATTTACTTTATCTCTTTGCATTTATTAGGTCAATAGAGGTAAAATTTGAAGAAAAAAAAAAGTTCATTAATCACCTTATAAATGACTTATATTTAACAATACATTTTTTTCTACAAATGAGAACAGAGTGATATAACGTTAATTTAGATAATTAATTTAAGAGTTTAGAAGAGATGAAAAGGTTTGAAAAGTAAGCAAAGTTCCAGTGTCCTTTTAGAGTCATGAAGTCTGTGAGGCAGGCTGCATTCAATCCACAGGTTCCCGGACACAAATAATGATAAAGACGTAGATGTGGACTTAGATATTTAACATAATAAAATTTAAGATATTTAGAGAGAATTAAAGAGAAGCTCCTTATCTAATTTTTTTAATTAGTGAGAGATTGAAGGAGAACAAAACATAAAATAAAATTTGTGTGGTTTAATGCTCCAAAAGTGTGATTCAACTCATGATTTTAAAAGAGTAATCCAACGATGTAGTTCAATTCTCTGCAAATAGATGCAGTTTTATATTATAAGTGATGGATGGTTTAATTTATTTTTTCTAAATCTCATATAGTATAAGAAGAGATTTGTCTAACTAAATATATAAAGCATTCAATTCTCCTAAAATTATCATTCGAACTACATGTATTTACCATCTTCATAAGTCATAACCCAATTTCACAACTATAAATCATCAATAGTAATCCCTCGAAATTAAAAAAAAAACTTGAGAACTTATTCTTAGAGATAATTCTCCCTTTCGTTTATCAAATCTCATGCCATGCATGGACTAACATTAATTAGTGCTCATATTTGTAGTATATTTAATGTTCATTTTTTAATTTTATTCTTATTTATTTATTTCATAAAAAAGTTTAAAAAGAAAATGAATGGATTTCGAAAAGTAAGCAAAGTTCCTTTTGACTTTTGTTGTCATAGAAGACCGTGAGGCAAATGGCATTAAGTACTTGTTTGGCAGGGCATTTGTGGAGCTTAAAAGGAGCTCATTGGTGTCATAAGCTCGACCTGTAATTTGTCCCTATTTGGACAAGCTTTTAGTTTATTTAGCTTATAAGTCAAAAGCCGGTGAAAAGCATAAGCTGGGAAGAGAAGCTTATAACTTATGGAATCGTGCGTTTGCTTTAGTAAAAGGTCCTGGAAACATTTATTCCAAATTTAATGCCAAATCTACCTTCTGGCTCTTCTCCCTCATACGTTGATTTTGTGCATTTTCACATTTTTTAATATAACACAATTTTCTACAAAGTTATCATATGATAAATAACTTATTTTATTAACGGTTTTTTTTGATATTTTACCATATGTAAATGTAATATACACACACATATGTGAACATATGTATTACTCCCTCCTAGTCATATTATAAATTAATTTAAATTTATTGTATTATGTAAAATTATTTTTTTAATCATGTTTTATTATTTATTAAAACTCATACCCATTTTGGTCATCTTATAACCAAATTTACTTTTACCTAACCATAATCCAAACAACCTTTTATCAATCTCACTTTTGCAAACTAACTTTTCTAAACTCTAATCCAAACACAATTCAGCTTATCCAATTCAGCTTTTACCTAACTTCACTTTTCCATAAGCCAAACTCACAATAAGCTGCTTTTCCAATCGCTATTCCAAACAGACCCTAAGTCCCTTCGATCAGCTTTTGTCTAAGAAATTTCTAAGAAAGCCAAGCATGGTCCCCATTCACCTAACCATTGACATTTCTAAGAAAGCCGGGCATTGGTCCCCATTCACCTAGCCGGTGACATTGCTTAAAATAATATTTAGATTGGACGTGTCATCAATTTGCCTTTATTTATCTAGATACTACTTATATTTAAGATAATACGTAGGTTGTCTCTTTAATATAAGAGTTATATACTCTTCCAGTCCTTAATATAAGACGTATTTAACTAATTTGATTAGATTAAATAAGTTAGGTAAGTTAGCTAATTATTATAAGAGATATGACATGTTTTTTCTAAAATACCATAATCATCTTTCTTAATATCCTTCCTTTCTCATTTGCTCGATTATGATTGAGGGAGTATCCATAAGGGTAATTTAGAAAAAATTATCAAAAATAAGAAATATGTTCTATATTTAGAGCTAGAATTAACTTAACAATTAGGTCATATATTAAGGATCGGATGAGTAATTAATTTTAAGGGTGCATAAAGACCTATTGGACTGGATTACACCCTAACTCGATGTTGAATCTGAAATAACGTCAGGCGAGAAAAATTAACATGTGGTCTAGTTTGACCCAATCATAACCTGACACTTATCTAGACTGGACTGGGTTATACTGGACTTTCAGGTTGGTCCCTGTAAAAAAACATTAGCAAAAATTAAAAAAATTGTTAAGAACTCTTTTGACAGCTCATAAACCCACCCCTATTCATCTAGAAAATCACCTCTCTTCTTCCTCCTCGCAAACAACAAACCCATCTCTTTCCTTCCTCCTTGCGGTCACCAGATTCGAGAGGCAAGAAGGACTAAAAGTCCTTGAAGAATGTGATTAACAGCGTGCCCTATGGACGAGTCAAAGTCCAGATCTGACATCAAAAATGAATTTGAAGACTCACATATCCTCAAAGCCCATATCTGAGAACTCAAGAGTGAATACGCATGAAGGAATAAGGAATCTTTGAAGCCGATATCTTCTTAATCCTCGCCATTGAAGATGCAAACAGGAATCAACAAGCATACATGATAGAAGACTAAGAAGAGAGGAGAGGAAGGGTATGCAACGGGAAGCATGTGGAATGACAAAGTAATATTGAAGGTGCTTAGTGCTTGGAAGTCTGCAACTGGATTTTCAAGATTGGAATGGAGGAATGGGTTTAGAAGTTTTATTTTTTTTATTCTTTATTAAATTTTAAATATTTATATATATGATAAAAAATTAATACCGGGTTGGAGTGGACCAAGTGATCTGAAGGGTGAGCACGGAATCTAGTTTGACCCAGCCAATCAACCCTGTTTGGTTAGTCTAGTTTCCTTCTCAGGTTGTTTTTTTTTTTTTCTTGATCAGGTTAGACAATGCTGGACTAGGTTGGGGCGAGTCAGACCGAGTTTCATATTTCATGAACAGCCCTAATTAATTTGGTGAGAGTAAGAAAATTAGTTAAATTGATTAATTATAACAAATGTGTGTTGATTTCTCTAAATGACCCTATTTAATCATGTGCACTAAAACTTTGGTGAGAACTCTTATAATCAATAAGAATATTTTATATAATCCATCAACTAGTTCTTATATTAAGAATCGTATGTAGTATATACTTTCCTCTGTAGTTCACAATAATACAAGTAACCTAAATTAATTCATTAAAATAAAAAAATGGTAATTAACTCATTACATCTATCTCAAATTTTTTTTCCAACTTTATTTACATTAAATTAGGTTGTCCGTGAAAAATATAAGGATTACTCTTTAGTCATATTTATAAGACACTTATAGCATGTTTGACACAGACCAAAGAAGACCTTAAAATATATTAACTCTCTATTAAAATATAACAATTTTTAATTTTACTCTTATTTAATATATACACTTTTAAAAAAAATAACTATACACACTTCAAGCATTAATCGTAAGGATAAAAATTACTCCGTGACCTACATTTTTTTTGGACCAAATCATTATTTTAGAAACGACTTATACTATAGAGTTGAGAGACTATCTCTTCATAAACTTGTAATGTCGCATGAAGCAACTAATTACGAATTTTTGGGACCATGTTGCATTACCAAATATGTATGCAATGTTTTCACATTATGGTGCGTCCGTACATCATATTGCTATAAAGAACCTACTGCCCTCCATTTATACTCACCGTTCATTCTCTCTCTTGGAATCTATTCAGCATTTAGGAGTAATCCCAAAGTTTGTAAATCATCATCATGGTGTATCAGTGGCAAAAGGTTGATTCCACTCTTCTACTTGAAGCATCGTGGCGAATTCTCTGCACATTCTTGTTCAGTTTCTTTGTGATGTTCTCTTCATCTGTGGCTTCTATGAGGAAGCAAATGGTTTTTTAAACAAGAAAGCCAGCCTCACTAAGCAAAGCCAATTTATCTTGTCTTCTTGGAATGACACTGATCCTTGCGGTCAATGGAAAGGAATTACTTGTGATGTATCCACGACCGTCTCCACCATAAATCTTACTAATCTGGGAATACAAGGTACACTTCGCAGTTTCAATTTCTCATCCTTCTCTAAACTCCAAGTTTTAGATACTGGTTACAATAAGTTTTCTGGAACTATTCCCAGCCAAATTGGCAATTTCTCCAGTATTCTTATATTGTATATGGATCATAATTTCTTGAGTGGCTTCATCCCTCCAGAAATAGGAAACTTGACTGCTTTAAATGTGCTTGGAATTGGTGTGAATAATCTTGCTGGGAGAATTGCCAAAGAAGTTGGGAACTTGAGGAATTTGAGATCATTATCTCTTTACACGAATCATCTGTCAGGTCCCATTCCCCAGGAAATTGGAATGCTGAGTAGTCTCAAAAAATTATCCTTGTATGAAAATACTTTCTTAACTGGAGGAATCCCTTCTTCACTAGGAAATTTGACCAAATTGAAATTTCTTTATCTCTATGAAAATAGACTGTCAGGTTTCATTCCTTGTGAGTTTGCAAATCTCCATTCTCTCACCGAATCAGATTTGTCAGAAAACAACTTGTATGGGCCAATACCAATCTCCATTATTGGAAACTTGACAAATTTGATTTGGTTAGGTTTTGGGGACAACAAACTTTTAGGACCAATTCCTTCCTCTCTAGGAAATTGGGTGAATTTAGAAACTATCGACCTTCGTTATAACTCTCTTTCGGGATCAATTACATCTACCATAGGAAATTTGACCAAACCAGAAGGAATCACCCTTGCCAGTAACTCTCTTTCTGGAACCATTCCATCTACTATAGGAAATTTGAAACACCGCAATTCCCTAGAATTAAGATGGAACAAACTCAATGGGAGCCTTCCGATAGAGATGAATAATCTCACCCGCTTGAAGACTTTACAAATTCGTGGGAATCAGTTGACTGGCCATTTGCCACAAAATATTTGCTTTGGTGGATCACTTGAAGCTTTGGGTGCTGCTGAAAACAAATTCACTGGTCCAATTCCAAGAACCTTGAAAAATTTCTCTAGCCTTATTAGACTCATACTTCATGATAACCAATTGGTTGGAAATATAACAAGTGATTTTGGTATGTATCCATATCTGAAATACATCAATTTGAGTGGCAATAAATTATATGGCCACATTTCATCGTTGTGGGGAAAATGTCCAAAGCTTACGACGTCCATCATTTCAAACAACATTTCTGGCAGTATACCTCCAGAAATAGGACAGGCAACCAATCTTGGGGAAATCAATGTTTCTTCAAATCACTTGACAGGAGAAATTCCAAAAGAATTGGGGAAGATGATCTCATTGATCAAACTTTCTCTCGGTCATAACCAATTTTCAGGGAGATTCCTATAGCAATAGGATCATTGAATCAACTCGAGCAATTGGAGTTGGCAGCAAATGATCTCACTGGCCCAATACCTAAGGAGATTGGAAGCTTGAGCAAGCTATGGCTCTTGAACTTGAGCAAAAATAAATTTGAGGGAAGCATTCCCTTTGAGTTTGGTCAATTACAAGCCTTATGAGTTCTTGACTTTAGCGAGGGTATGTTGAGAGGGAAAATACCAGCAACACTTGGAATGCTAAAGATGCTGGAAATCTTGACCCTTTCGCATAATAATCTCTCTGGGACCATTCCATCCGATTTTGATGACATGTCTGGCTTGACATCTGTTGACACATCATACAATCATTTAGAGGGACCTCTTCCGAATGTCCATGCCTTTCGAAACATTACATTTGACGCAATAAGGAACAACACAGGTTTATGTGGTAATGTTACTGGCTCAGAGCTTTGCAATAAACATAGCAATAAGCCACAAGGTCGTATGAACAAAAAAGCAAAGCTGTTAGTGTCATTGCTTGTTTGTTTTATGACTCTGATTCTGGCTGTGGGTGGAGTTTTCTATATTCTGATTCAAAATCAAAGAAAACAGAGAATCGGAATAGAGAAGCACAAGCTCAAAATCTTTTCTTCATGTGATGTTTTGATAGGGAAATGTTGCATCAAAAAGTTGTTGAGGCTACTGAGGATTTCGATGAGAAATATCTTGTTGGGGTGGGAGGACAAGGAAGTGTTTAAAAGGCTGAGTTACTTCCAAGTGAATTTTTTGCTGTGAAGAAACTTCATTCAACTTCAAACACAAGTTTCTGCAATCTCAAAGCATACAGAAGTGAAATTCAAGCACTAATAGAAATCGAACATCATAACGTAGTGAAGTTGGTCGGATATTTTTCGAGCCCAGAGCTCTTATTCTTAGTCTACGAGTTCATAGAAGGTGGAAGCTTGGATAAGATTCTAAAATGTCAAGAGCGAGCATCTAAACTTGATTGGGATAAGAGGGTGAATGTTGTGAGAGGTGTCGCTAGTGCAATATTCCATATGCACCATGGTCTCTCATGTCCTATAGTTCATCGTGACGTATCAAGCAAAAACATCCTGTTAGATTCAGAATATCAAGAAGCTCATATCACTGACTTCAGAGTAGCCAAGTTTCTAAAGCTTGACTCGAACAACATGACCTCATTTGCTGGCACCTTTGGTTATGCTGCTCCAGGTTAGGCCTCCATTCTTTGTAGCCAACAATCCTTGCTATTATATTCTATGTAACGCAATTTGACTATTCTCATAGTTTAACATGCTTGTTGCAGAGATTGCTTTTACAATGCAAGCAACAAAGACATGTGATGTCTATAATTTTGGTGTTCTAACGTTAGAGATCTTAATGGGAAGACATCCAGGAGAGTTTATTTGTTCTTTGACAGAGACTCCAACATCTTATGATTTGCCACTTAAGGATGTGTTGGATCAGCGACTTCCTCAACCTTTAAACCTAGTTGTTGAGGAAGTAATGCTGATTGCCAAAATTGCACTTGCTTGCTTGCTTGAATGAAGATCCTCGGGGCCGACCAACCATGGAAGAAGTATCTTTGCAACTTGTGAGGCCTAAACCTCATTCGATGAACCAGTTCGACAGCATCACACTTGGACAACTCATGAGAGCGTAACCTTAATCCTTCCATAATTACTTTGCTTGTCTTTTGTATTTTCTGTTGAAGTGTGTGATCTTGTATAAACACGAAGTCGATCGTCTTTGCGATTTGTATAATACTCCATATAAGTTTTGTTGGCTTGATCAAGAATAAAGTAGCTTACTATTGGCCTCCTTGAAAAAAGTATTCTATAAATGTGATATACTTTAATTGATTATATGGTATGTTCTGTGGACTGACTATAACTTTTATATATATATATATATATATATATATATATTAACATTAAAAAAAATTAATCGTTAAGTTCTTTTAAAAACAATTTAATGATTTATAATGAAATAGTTAGGCATAAAAATTTTATATTTTGTATTGATGATAACTTACCAGAAACTATATTTACAAGCAACGGATTATGGGTCGCAGTGTTCAGACTTTAATTTATACATAATACGCATTGGTAGCTTAACTAATTATTTAAATAAACATTATTTAATTATTATTTGTATTGTTTAATTTCAACATTTTGCCTTCAACAAAAAAATTAGATATCCTTAAATTTATTTCTAGAGTAAAATACACCGATTATCTTTCTATTTTATTTTAATTACAGAGACATCTCTTTTATTTTAAAAATATATATAGACCCCTCTTACAGTTAAAATATATGTTACACAAACCTCCCTCCTATATTTAAGATTTTATTTCTATCTATCCAAATTATTAGTTCACAGAAGTTTGACTTTAAATTATTTTTTTGAACAAAATGCCCCTTTTTAAATTAATTATTATTTGAACGTTTATATTTTACAAAAAATGTTTTTATAAAATCAAAAAAATAATTATCTTTAAAATTTCTAATATGTTATAAAAAATTTTAATTTTAATCTAAATCATAAAATTTTATAATTTTAACATTTTATCACATTCATTAGAAATCTTCACTTTGATTTATTTTAAATTGTAAAAATATATTTCAAATACATAGCTTTTGTTTATCGTAAAATTTAAATGATATAAGTTTAAAAGATTTTATAAATTATTTAAATTTATAATTCAAAACTTTTAAACACATCTTTGTTATAAAAATTTATAAACATATTTAGTTAAGTATATATATTTATTAAAAAAATTAGTTAAATTTTTAATCAAATCTTTTATGTTTGCCTTAACTGAATGAAATTGATGTAATTGTAAAAATATAATTTAGGAATTTATTAGAATGAGGAGTAAAATAGTAAATAAATTTTATTTTAATATAAATTTCAGTTAAAAATAATATTTTTAGAATATTCCTAACAGTGTTAACTAATTAGACTAAACTGTATGTTTTTAAAATAAAAACGAGATCTATATAATTGATATAAACTAAAAAGGTAGTCAAAATATTTTACTCTTGTTTCTATGATATAATCACAAATATCCAAGACACCCCATGTTTTACCCACCCCATGTTTTACCCACCCCATGCTCATGTCACTTGATTCTTACATAATTAGTTTTTGCTGGTCTTTTATAGTGGTTAATAACTTAAGTGGTTATCTGCACACTATATATGTATGTATAATGGAAAATTTTTTACAAGTAGAGCTATATATTCATAAATCATAAATGTATTTATTTTCAAAATTTCTGCAACGCTTGAAAACATACACTAGTTGCACGAAATTTAAAGGATGGAGTCACACATTGAATCATTTGTAAGAGGGGTAATCATCATCATCTTTAATTTTATGATATAATATTACTTTTTTTTTAATAAAGTATGATATTATATTGGGATAAAGTGCATGCTGGTCAAAAAAAATATTGGGATAAAGTGCAAATTTACCTCTGGAAGTATACGTACCGCTAAGAACTATGGGCATGTAGATGTAAAAGTTTTTGAGGTCTCTGTGTCATCCAAAATGTAACAATTGTGCCCTCACTGTTATCTTAGTTAATTTTGACCGTTAGTTGGACCAAATTATCCACGTAACATGCCACCTCATCATCTTTCCCTTCCTCTATTCACGTCACCCTCCACCTCATCATCCCCTCTCTCACTCCGTTTCAGAAAATCTCCCCTTCTCTCTTCCTTTCAAGTTCCAGAACACGGCATACATGAACGAGGTCGCCGTCTTTCAGCTCGCTCAAACCCTTCACTACCTCTCTCTCTTGCTCTTTTGTCTTCGATATTTTCCTTTATTGTTGTTACCCCTCCCTTCCTTAGAGATTGAAGAATCGCTCACCGTTGATGGTGAATATGGGGGTTCTTTTTCCACGGGGGTTCAAGATTTTATCTTTGCACCCTTGCAGGTGCGATATAGGATTTATGGGTTTCAATGTCCAGAATTGTATAGGATCTATGGTTTCTAGAATTTATGTTCTTGGTTTATGTTTTTCTTTGAAATCTGAATTGCCGGGAGAATGACAAAAAATCATTGGAAGGGAGTGAGATATATTTTCAGAGGCTTTAGTTAAAGTACTCGTTATAGCATACGAGCTAAGCTAGCTAGGGTCTAGAATGAATATTTGCTTTTTAAGCTCTGTGTCTCTCATTTCGAAGATGCGTTTCAAGTAAGGAGAATCAGAAACGCTAGCCATTTCAATGTTCAAACTTCGAGCTATATCGAGAAGTGAAGGGAGTGCAACTTAGAAGCCGATTAGCACATGCTTGGCATTTTCATCCCTCTTCTCTATTATCTCAAGAGGTCCCAATACAGTTTTCCTTCATATATGCCTGTGTTCTGGAGCTTGAAAGGAAGAGAGAAGGGGAGATTTTCTGAAAGGGAGTGAGAGAGGGGATGATTAAGTGAAGGGTGATGCAGAACAGAGGACGGGAAAGATGACGAGGCGGCATGTTAATATTTTGGTCAAACTAACGGTCAAAATTAAGTAGAATAACAGCCAGGATAAAATTATTACATTTTGGTAACTTTTGGGTGACACTAAGACCTCAAAAATTTCTAAGTACTCGTAGCCTTTGGCCGTATATTTTCATTTTTCACGGTAAATTTACACCTTATTCCTATTATATTGCTCTCTTTAGTTATACAAAAGACAAATAACGAATTTAATGAAGTCAAGATTGAATAAAATTCCATTAAAAACTAGTTGAAATCAATAGATATTTTAAGCATAAATTTACCCCGCAATTAACAATTAATTCGCTTCGTTATTAGAAAAAAGTTATTGAAGCTTAAAAATGAAAAACCGAATGTAATCAAATATAACAATAGTTGATTAAAAAAGAATGAAAGAAAGAAGACGTGTCCAGCATCCACTGCCAAATATACGCTTAGGAGGGCGTTTTTACCATTATGCTATGTGCACTAACAAGAAAAATACCAAAATGCTAAGCGGTGGAAAACATTTATCAAAATACTACACTTGTACTTAGCTCATTTTTAGCAAGAACGATTTCAATTTTCATGATCTAACATAAAATGATAAGAACAATTTTAGTTTTGTCAGTCTCACATTTTCTTATATAATATTTTGATATTACTTATAAATCATTTTCAATATGTTTCATAAAACTAAAAAAAAAACTTAAACCTTATTAGTTATGCCTTAAAATAACTTTCTGATTTTATTTTCGTTTAATATATACACTACCTTCAATCTTTAACCTAACATCTAGTTAAGGTGTTAAATTTGGTCATAAAAATATATGATCTGGATTCATTTTGTATCTTGATTTGATACCTTCCCACCGTGCATTTTGGCACATAATAGTTAAAAAGCCCACTAAAATACTGTTTGGTACGAGAAAAATAGAGAAAATGGGAAGGAAAATTTTTTTTTAATGAATTCTATTTAAAAATTAGAGAAGTGGGGTTTTAAAATTTTAATAAAGAAAAGAAGTACTATAAAAGAGTAAGAAAAATTAATTAAAAATTTTTAACCTTATTTTTTTAAAATCGAGTTTACTAAAAGTTTTCTTCCTGTTACCTCCTCTTATTTTTTCTCGTACCAAACAGACTGTAATGAGTCCGCCTCTCCCCAGGCTCCCGTCTGTCTACAGTCTTCCGTCTCGCCTTCTGAACTCGAAGGCCGAGGCTTCTTTCCCCGATATCCACGGCGGCACGGACCACTCTACCCTCGGCTACTGCAAGTCTGCTCGCAGTTTACTCGCTTGACGACGACGCAGTCTCTCCTCACTAAATTTCCATCAAGTTTTCGGAGATCCAGGTTCTACACCTTCTTCTTCGTGTTTTCCATAGGGATTCTTCTGGGTTTTGCTTCAATTTCAAAACCCATTTGCGATTTTCTTATTCTTTCCTTCGATTCCCCAATGCTCACGCTCAATTCTCTGATGATGCTCCTCCTCCGGTAAATTTCTGCTGAATTGGTGGAAATTTTGTATCCCCATTTGTGCTTGTGAGACGAAGCTTGAATTTTTCTGACCATAATTATTGTTTTTGGTTTGTTCGGGTTGTGCTCACTTATACTTGAAATTTATTATTTATTTTTCTTATCTAGGAATTCTCTGTCTCTGCCTTGCGTGTGGGATCTGCGTCATTGATCTTATTAGTGATTTCCTCCTTATGTAGACCTTGTGCTTCGGATTCGTGTTTTCTTTGTCATTGAGGAATTAATATTCACATGAAACAATTTTGATGTATATTATTTGTTTTTTTCAATGAAAATAGATAATGAAAAAATAGCTGCATCTGAAATGTGGTGAACATGAAGAGTGTTTAACTTGTTATTTTTCCAATCAGGATCTCTTTATGCTGCTCTTCATTCTTCCTGGGTTGCATAAACAGTGAACCATGTTCAAGAAGCACTGAACCAGTGTGTCCTGTTCATATAGGAAGCTTCGAAAAGCTGAGAAGCCACTCAAATGATTGAAATACTGAACCTTCTCCATTGCATCAAATCAACTTCAAAATTTCACATCCAAGCAGGGGATGTTGTCTTTTCACCATTTAGATTGTGCTCTGGATTCGCCAATTTTAGGGTTCCATAATGGGTTTCATTGCGATTCAGATGTTGGTTCAAGATGTAAATAAGCGTATTCTGATATCAGCTGTCCTTATTCAGCACGAAGAGGTTTCCCTTCTTCCATGGGATTAGTTTCCTTGATTTAATTTATAGACCCTTTATTAAAAGTTGATGTTGAAGACATTAAGAGTCCCAATCCATGTGTGTGAAAGTACTCGGATTTTGTTCAGAATCCATTCTTTTGCAATTTGCTCAACCGCAGTCAATACACATGGGAGTGATGTAGCCTTGAATGATAATGTGTCTGACAATGAGACCGAATGGGAGAGGTTGCTTAAGCCTTTTGATCTTAAAGAGCTTCGAAGGTCTCTTAACCGAATTAGTCCAGTTCAGCTTTGCAAGCTGCTGGAGCTCCCACTTGACATACCCACGTCTATGGAGATATTTGAATGGGCAGGTTCCCAGAGTGGATATTGTCATTCCTATGATGTATATTACATTTTCTTTGACAAGCTTGGTGCAGCCGGTGAGTTTAAAATCATAGACAGGTTGTTATTGCAGATGAAAGAAGAAAGAATTGTCGTTAAAGAATCACTTTTTCTTTTGATTATGAAATACTATGGAAGAGCTGGGTTGCCTGGGCAAGCTACAAAGCTTTTGTTAGATATGAAAAGTGTTTATTCATGTGAGCCTACATTTAGGACATATAATGTTGTATTAGATATACTGGTTTCCAGAAATTGTCCCCGAGTCGCACCGAATGTTTTCTATGACATGTTAAGCAGAGGAATTTCTCCGACTGTCTACACGTTTGGAGTGGTGATGAAAGCATTTTGTATGATTAATGAGGTGGATTCAGCTTGCTCACTTCTAAGAGACATGACAAAGCATGGTTGTGTTCCAAGTTCAGTGATATACCAGACCCTGATACATACACTTTCCAAATGTAATAGAGTGAATGAAGCTGTGCAACTTTTAGGAGAAATGTTCTTGATGGGCTGTACACCAGATGTTCAAACCATCAATGATGTTATCCATGGTCTCTGCAGGGCCAAAAGAATTCATGAGGCTGAAAAATTGCTGAACCGAATGCTCTTCCGAGGTTTTGCTGCTGATGCAGTAACTTATGGTGTTCTAATGCATGGTTGGTGTAAGATTGGTGAAGTTGATGAAGCAAGGGCCTTGCTTAGCAAAACTCCTAACCCAAATAATGTGATCTATAATACATTAATTAATGGATATGTCTCAAATGGACGTTTTGATGAAGCCATGGACTTACTGTACAATAACATGTTAATTTCTGGTCATGCGCCTGATGTCTTCACATTTAACATATTGATCCATGGACTTTGCAAGAATGGGAATTTATTCTCTGCTTGTAAATGCTTTCATGATATGCTATCACTAGGCATTGAACCTAATGTTATTACGTACACCATATTGATCAATGCTTTCTGCAGGGAAGGCCAATTAGAGGAAGCCGTTAAAGTTGTAAATGAAATGTCAGCTAAGGGTCTCAGTTTGAACACAGTGGGATACAATTGCTTGATTTGTGCTCTGTGTAAAAATGGGAAGGTTCAAGACGCTTTACAAGTTTTTGCTGAAATGTCCAGCAAAGGATGTAAACCTGACATATATACATTCAATTCAGTAATATATGGTCTGTGTGAGGATAATAAGTTGGAAGAAGCCTTGCAGTTGTATCGTGACATGTTCTTGGAGGGTGTCATTGCCAACACTGTAACATATAACATATTGATTCACGCATTTCTTGGAAAAGATTCAATTAAGCAAGCGCTTAAACTTGTTGATGAAATGCTATTTAGAGGGTACCCACTAGACAATATTACCTACAATGGCCTTATCAAAGCTTTCTGCAAAGTGGGGGCTATTGAAAAAGGATTGAAATTGTTTGAGGAGATGCTTGGTAAAGGGATTTTTCCTAGCATTATCTCTTGCAATATTTTGATCAATGCCTTATGTAGAACTGGAAAAGTAAATGATGCCCTTCTATTTCTTCGGGATATGATCCATCGTGGATTGACACCTGATATAGTCACATACAACACCCTCATCAATGGTCTATGCAAAATCGGTCATGTTCAGGAGGCTCTAAACCTTTTTGACAGGTTACAGGGTGAAGGAATATTTCCTGATGCTATTACATATAACACACTGATACATAGGCACTGCAAGGAGGGTTTGTTTAATGAAGCTTGTTTACTTTTATATAGAGGTGTGGAGAATGGGTTTATACCTAATGAAGTCACTTGGCACATATTGCTAAACAGTTTTGTAAAAGAAAGTAACAGGGGAGTAAGGCCTTCCTTTTATATGGTAAATTTCCAAGCTTTGTCACTTTGAAGACCGTGTCTCATACTGCTCTTCCTACAATGCCCCTTGATCTCATCTGAGTTGTCCATTGGTACTTGGTACGCTGGATTTTAGGTAGCTGTTAATTTTGGTTCAAATTATTGTCAGGGAAACTGACTGTGTAATTTATTAGTGTGCATTATTATTAAAACTTTTATATTGCTCATTGACAGATGACTTAAATTTGAGTCATCTCATGAAATTTTCCTGTAGCTGAAGTATAAACATTGATTTATGCACATGGATTGTTAGAGAGGAAGGTCGCTGGCTGGTTTTAAATGAAAGCCTGTGGGTCTTGCAATTCTTACAGTAGGCTTAAGCCTCCAATCTGTATTATGTGAAATAGCATTATCAACTCAAGGGAATTTGTTCCTTAAACAATCTGCAACTTGTGTGATTCATTTCGTTTTGTGGTGGCACATGAGTTTGCAAATGTGTCCATATTGCTAATAATTTTAATATCTCCCCTTTGTAAGCCTTTTTTACCACTAATCTGACGCTCCCTTCGGTTCAAAATATAAGCATCAAATCTTTGAAAAGGGTGGGGTTTTTTTTTATGAGCATCAATTTGAATTTTTCTAATCATTTAATGCATTGTTCTCATTTTTACCTTTAATTCATTATATGTATCTCTAATCTTTTTTTCACTCATTCTGTCTCCCAATTGCCCTCTGCACAAATAAGGGTATTTTAGAAAAATAAGCTGCATTTTTTTTTACATATTTATTGTTTTAGACCGATTTTAACTAAAGTGTTGAATTGTGTAATTTAATTATTTGATACTTATATTTTAAACCAAGGGTAGAATTGTTTACCTGTTAGGGTGTACCCTTCGTGTTGACATTCTTCCCTCCCCCCCCCCCGGGGCCTAGCCTTCACAATAACATTTAGTTTCTTCTAACAGGTGATTTAAACTTTTTCTTTTAATTTTGCCTCATGTATACATTCATCAATCCTGGGCATGGCAAGCTCTTGCACAACCTCTGAAACTCTCATGACTGATGACACAACAGAGCTCCCCTTCAGTTACTCATGCCTCTTTTCACGGATATATCATATAGGTTAACACTCTGAGATTGAGATTTGATTTATGTTTTCTTCCTTCAAAGCTCGCTTACTGAGGTCCTTGGTCATAGGTTGATCTAATATCAGTTAGAGTTGATGGGTGATTATATCTGGTTTAACCGGACATTACACTAGGTTACTGCCCCTCCCCCCTCCGTTGTGTGGCATGACTATTCAACGCTCTCGCTAAACCTCCCCCCCCAAAACACCCTACCTCTATCTCTCTCTCTCTCGAGTTGATGGGTGATTATATCTGGTTTAAGCAGACAATACACTAGGTTACTGCCCCTCCCCCCTCCATTGTGTGGCATGACTATTCAACACTCTCGCTACCCCCCCCCCCCAAAGAGACCCTACCTCTCTCTCCCCCCCCTCTCTCTTTTTGGGCTCCATGTGGAAATTTGTTCAAGTGCTGCATAGTAGATGTTTGTCCAAATGCATAGGTATATCTATTTCCAACTCTTAATTTTTTAATTACTACCTCTAATTTAAATTACAAACTAGATTTTATGTTAAAGACTGGAGATAGTATAAATTTATTTTGTTTTGAAATCACTTCTTCTTGCATTGATCTCAATCAGATAGATAGACAGTTACAGCATAATTGCCATCTAATTGATGGTCATAACTATAAGAATCATCCTCTTGTGTATTAGCTGACAAGGTTATCTTGTCATCATCAGATCCTATGGGAGCATGTTTGCGAGTTTTTAGCACGCATCCCTAGGCATCAACCACACTTCCTCAACTCTGCTGAGTATATGGCTTTCACCTGTAGCCAAAGCTGTCATTGCGAAATTGCACTGATTCCAAAGACACTACCTTCTGCAAAGAAGAATTATGTCATCCCTGTAGCAGCTATCCACCCATGTGATCTGATATATTCTCTGTTGTTTTGGGTCTTTCCTGATTGTTCTCATGACCTGGTTCAGATTTAATGAATTCAGGACTAAGAAACTTCAGATTGCTACCTTTTGAAGACTTGACAGACTCAACAATTGATTGCTTGACTTATTCACGTTTGGCATTGACCCCATCTAATGATCCCACAGGTATAGGTATAGCCTCCTTCAAGTTCCCTTTTTTTTTTTTTTTTGGGACCTGAATCCTCCTTCAAGTTTCCAGTCCTCATCTAACAGTTCTGATTTTACCGTCCTAACACTTACCATGTTCACATTACCAGAAGAAGTTAACACATTTGCCGGTTCAGACTGGGCACATTCTGAATTTTGGGCAGCAGATAACCTAGAAGGTTCTTCCAAAGAGATGCAGCAGTACCTTCTTTTCTTGCTCACCACATCTGCAATGTCAAAATTTGGTGATCCTTGTGGAATACTTGAGTTTTTAGGATGAGGCGATTCAACACAAAAAATAATCTTGACTGCATTTCTCATCACTAGGCTCCTCAAAATCATTATAATGGACCTTTTAATCAGGTAAGGAGACTTCAGATAGTTTTGACGACAAGTATACTTTCGGGCTGGCTACGTTGCTTATAAGTAATTGTAACATTCTTGGTGTTTGTGTTTCATTCAGAAAATGATTTGCTACCTTCTTTATCTGGTTGATGGTAATTATCTCATCAGCTACGTCAAGGAAAATTACAAATATTTCTTCGCAGGCATCCTGCATCATGTTTTCATCTATAATGGTCCTCTTGCATTATGTTTCCACATTACCTAATGGGAAAGTTAATTTCATGCATAATCGCGCGGACTCTTGTAGTTCTTTTTTGTGAGGTATGAAATAAATATATTTAGGCTTGGCCATTTGGATGCTTAGTTAGGTGAGCAAAATCATATAGTCATGTCGTCATCATTCATGTCATGTCGTATTGTGGTGTTGATGCTGGATCTACTCATGAACATGATTGCTTTGCTATATTTTATAATCTGAAACTGATGAAACTCTAATCCTTTCTACTCCAAGTATGGTGGTAGTAGTGATCCGATCTAGTGGTCTCACTAATTTTGTATGCTTAATTGTGGATTTCTGGACTGAGACTCTATTGTATTATTCAGAGAGGGAGGTACAGCGTATATAAACGAATGAGAGGCACTATATAGCATGGATTGGGGGAGAGAAATATGGAAAAATAATTAGCTGTTATTTTTACCCTATATTATCCCCTATCAGAGATATTTACATCAAATATTAATGCCCTAAAAGTGTCGGCCCTGTTAAATTGGATGATGTATACTTACCACATCCAACTTACTTATGCACCCTTCAAATACATGTGAAGATAATCCCTTGGTCAGGTCGCTGCCTAGTGAGAATGGGCCTATTGGGCATAACGTTTAAAATTTATAAGCATATTTTATGTAAATCGAAATAAAATTTCTCTCACTTAGTTATCTCATATTACGTAAATTGTAATTGAAAAACTACTCATGAGTCATTTATAATAGGTCTGATATAGTATGAGTACAAAATTCCTTCCGCCTCGTTTTCATGGCTATCAAATTTCAATTGTTTTGTTCGATCATGTTGTACAGTGTTTAAAGCTATTGCGGCTTTGTTGTCCCAGTGAAAAGTTGTTGGGAAGTCATATTCAAGTAACATCTCCCCTATGAATCTCTTGAGCCCCAACCCTTAATTTTTCGTACTTCTCTTTTTTGTTTTTAGCTTCTTCATATGACCAAGGTTACTCTGTCCAATAACTGCATAGTGCCCTGAGGTGGACTTTCTATTTTCAACTGCACATGGCCAGTCAGCATCAGTGTAAATCTCTATAGAATCTTCCTTTATCCAAATTAAACATCATCCTTGTTTTTTCCCCCTCTTTTCATATGATTCAAGTTTCTAGGCATGGTTATAAATTTTTGGAAAAATCCCAAAAAAGGTCCTTGGAATATGGGAAATGCCAGATTGGGTCTTTAAATTTCGAAAATGACAGAATGGGTCATTGACCCAATCTGTCATTTGTGAAATTTAGGCGAATTGACAATTTTACCCTCATTTATTCATTCACTACAATGATTCAAGGAATCACTATAAGAGTTTAGGTGTTACCTAGATTCGTATAGCGAATAACTATTCACTTTTTCATAGTCAGGTGTCTTGTTATTAACTACAACTAATGCTGTAATCACTAGAATAATGTAAGCATTACCTAGATTTGTGTAGAGAATAACTACTCATTTTTTCATAGTCAAGTATCTTATTATTGTCAGGTACCTTATTATTAACTACAACGAATCTTGTAATCACTAGAACAGTGTAAGCGTTACCTAGATTTGTTTAGAGAATAACTACTCACTTTTGCTCAGGGGCAAAAATGTCAATTCGCCTGAATTTCACAAATGACAAATTGGGTCAATGACCCATTCTGTCATTTTTGAAATTTAAGGGCCCAATCTGGGATTTGGTATATTCTAAAAGCTTTTTCTGGGATTTTCCCTAAATTTTTCACCATCAAATACTTCTTACGTTTCACTCATAATATATATGCAGCGGGCATTTTTTAACATTTGAGAATCAATAAAGATATTTTGAGAAGAGATGAGAGGCAAAGTGAATTGAGATCTTATATTTTGAGAAAAATAATTTTTATATTAAAAAGTGTGAATAGCATAATAATATTGATTAGAGTGAGTGGTAGGAAGAGCATCATAAATACTCAATGATCGTGGTAGGAAAAAAATTGTTAAAAGAGCATTCGCCACAGGGCCGATGTTTTCTTATGCGTGATAACGAGTTCAAAAAATGAGTTGCATTATTTAAAATGCATAAATATACTTTTTGTTATAAATTTTATTATCGATATTCGTACGTCAATGAAAATCAAGTAATCATTAAGACTTGATAGTCATAATGAAAAGTCAATGGATAGTCTCTTGAATTTATGTACAGGCTCCTATGATTTTGGGAATATTGCTTTGTCATGAGTGAAAGCACTAACATCTTATCTTAATTAATTTAAAATTGGATTATTAATGGACTCAGTTAAATTATTACTCCTCCGGTCCTTAATATAGGACCCAATTTTTGAGTTGATTTTGGTTTTAAATATAAGATCCATTCTTCATATTTATCAATTTTCTCTAAATTACCCCTATGGACACTCTCTCAACTATAATCAAG